TCTGAATCGATGTTAGAGTCACTAGAATTTCTTTTCGTAAAATTTTTCGTGTTCCATTTCTTAAGTGAGCTACTGTATATTTGAGACGCATTAAATTCTGAATTGATGATCAAGCCAGATCGTATATTTATGAAGGGTTGACTGTATTGGATATATATACATAAATGTTATTTTCGTAATAATAACTTGCGTCAGGGGAGTACAGACAGTTTTTCAAACTGTTGTAATATATGGATATCTCCAAACTACGTTGAAATTACCAAAGCTGGTAGACTTAGTAAACACCATAAACTGTACTATTGATTTATGGGGGTTGCTTAAATTCGAGCGTTTACGGTAATTTATTAATTCTATGCATTCTGCACAGCTGTGCATTCTCTTTTTTAGGGTTGTGATTAGGATCAGTAAAAATAAGCAATGTTTTTTATTAAATATTAAAAGTGGTTATTTTGTTTTGAATTCTTTCATTAAACTTGATCTTGCGGCTTGATTGGTCAATCACGTTGATCTTGCGACTTGCGGATGCACATTATTAATATTTACTTTATTGAACTTTAACTGATCGTTAACGGTTAATAATAAAGAGAAATTAGAGAACTTGAAATTTAATTTTATTTAATACCAATAGATATGTTAATTTGTAATATTATAATGTTATTAAATTTTTATTTTCATCATATATGTATAACTACACTTATGCATCTGATGATCTCAACTAATATTATTTCGCAAAATTTTTTGCCAGAACACAGTAAGATACAAGCTATTTTGAATATCACCGATTACCGTTATAAATTTCGGTACTGGCCTGAAAAGGTCACCTGATTCAGTTTCCCGTATTACGAAACGGGAAGCCTACGGACATTATTCAGTGCTGAATCACCCAAAGGAAGGAAAAAGTGATATTACAAAATCTTTCTTGACTATTAATTAAAAATGTCGGGAAGGCAATTCCGTTTCGGACGTAATAAAATTAAGAATCCAAATTAAGAATTTGAAATTTGGTTCAGTAAAACTGATCTCAAATCGCAACGCAAGATGAATAGCATTTCGATTATGGTTAGAGATTCAGCACTGTCCCTAAGCACTTTCCGATTACGAAATAGTGTACAATCACGTGCCTGCAATCTTGTAGATAATTAAAAGTTTTTAACGTTAACACATGAAAATGCTTCGAGCTCTAACATCGACGATAAAAAAGTACCATGAAACTTGTACAAATATTAATTACAATCATCAATATTTATTATCACAAAACGTACGCCATATTAATTCATCAATATCAAAATCATCATCAGAAGGAAAAGAATTAACACAAAAAGAAGACGAAACTGAAACTGAAACTGAAAATGAATATATAAAGAAACCGGCATCAATTAATACAATTTTAAAAAATTCATTCGTTTCACCAACAGATGTTCCATGGACAGGTGATGAGCCTATCCAATCAACAGTTGTGCGTATGATTGAGGATAAATATCCTCCTTTAAAAGTTAAACGAAATTCGGTTAAAGAGTTTATTGATGCTCGAATTAATAAGAAAGTATCATCATTTTCTGATTTTAATAACTATGATAATAATGAAAATGATTCTTCTGCTGTCATTACAGCTATTACTACCACCAAAATTACTTCAACACCATCAAAAGTGACATTACTGAAAAAGACACCATTAACCCCAGAACAGAAGAAAATAAAGCAACGAGAAGCAAAACAATCAAGAATAGTTAATGCTAGAGAAGCAGCAACAGAATATTCAATCTCTAAAAAATATCCGACTGATGATGATTTTGATATTGATGATACAGATGACGATACCGAGGATGATACGGAGGGCAAAAACAAGACACTGAAAAAAGTGAGTATTAAGCATGT